GCCGTTGCTGCTGCAGACAGGAAGACATGCATGACATGCTGACGGGAAGTTGGACGCCGGATGGATCCACAGACAGAACACGACATATGGGCGGGGGTTGGCCAAACGGTACGGTGGAAGGTGCTCGGACACCACAATGGAAGGGTAATAACAGAAAGACTCACCGCAACACTGGCGGCCGGGCATTATCCGGAACCTGCCGTCATCAACATCACCAGCGATGCCGGCCCAAGCGAAGACTGATCAAGTGCAACTGTGGGGCAGGAGGTGTCAACTGCAAAATAGGGTGATATGGCCTACTAAATCAAGCCCTGGATAAAAGTTCAAAACAATTTGATCGGCTGTGTGCAGAGGCATGTTACTTGGCCTCGGGAATTGAACAATGGCAACTGATCTAATAATGCTGGCTCTTGAATTTTCAATGTGAAGGGACGCTGGACCCGATTTCGGGCTTGTGCAGCTCCCCACCAATGGAACGGAGCCATCCAATAACGAGGGTAGAGAAGTTGACTGCTCTTACCAGCACCCCCCCCACACCCTCGCCGATGTTTCTTTCAAAAAAAAAAAAAAGCAAAAGGAAGAAAACTTAAAAAAAGTGTTTGACAACCACATATCCTGGTCCTTCCATTAGGGCCCTGATGCAATACCTGAACAAAGTGCTTAGCATTTCCGATACTGTACCAGTTTGCAATGTGCGCCAACGTGACTTGTGCAATAATGGCGATGGTCGCCGCCTTGAGTTCCCAAGGTGGGCAAAACTCACAGTTTCAAGATTCAAATATTTCAGTCATTAACAAGAAAGAATATTGGCTCACCATTTGTTGTTGGGAGATAGTTTGTGGTTGTGCTTTTCAGTTATTAGTAGTTGTTTACCAAGAAAGAACAAAATGGCTCTTCACCATTTGTTGCTGGGAGATAGTTTATGGTTGTGGTTCATCAGAGAGGGTGCCGGTTTAATGCCGCCATATACAAGAAAGAAAAATGGCTCACAATTTGTTGCTGGGAGACAGTTTATGGTTGTGGTTGATCGCAGAGGGTGCCGGTTCGATGCCATATACATGCACACACAAAAGCTACCATAGCGGCAGCTTGGTAGCTCATCACAGAGGGGCCCAGGGCGGTTTAATGCCATCCGCACATGCAAAAGCGGTTCGATGCCATATATATGCACAGACAAAAGGTACCATAGCGGCAGCTTGGTAGCTCATCACAGAAGGGCCCAGGGCGGTTTAATGCCGCCATCCGCACACGCAAAAGCTGAAGCTACCATAGAGGCAGCTTGGTAGCCATCCGCACACACAAAAGCTAAAGCTACCATAGAGGCAGCTTGGTAGCTCACTTATTGCAAAGGATATTTATTAATGCAATACCCTAATGAGGGGACATGGCAAGAAATGGATATGGTGGGTAACTTCCACCACACTCCTGCCATCACAGACCGTCCTCACTAGAAACAAAAATGTGGACATAAAGCAAAGACTTCACAAACAAAAACGGGGAAAAAGACTTGTCAGTCTTGCACTTCATTTGTCGATTGGATTTCTTCCAGCCTCTTACAGAAGGACAGACTGCAACCTCTGTTGACCCCATGATAGCACATTGAGACAAATTGGTGGGAAATGCACAGAGGGAGTTCGCCTCCGTTGTGGACATAGGAAATCTCCGACAAATAACAGGCAAAATAATTTACAATCCTGCGTCGTCACATGAGTAGATGAAGTGGCTGAGGTCATCAACACAAAAACAAACCAAACGAACGAAGAACCTATCTGTTCTCCTTCCGCTCAATAGAGACAGCGAACCTGCCACGTGAGCCGTGACCACAAATAACTTAAAAATCCTTACCAGGAATCTCTGCCCATTTTCCTTGAATGGAAATATGGATCCATGGTTGGAGCTCTCCTGAAGCAGCTGAAGTAGTAGTTGGTTTCGTCGCCAGCCTTTTTTGTTACTCACAATCTGGCATTCTCTGATCGTCCTGGCAGAGATCATACAGGACTCTTGAATTGCACCGGCACTTCTGGAAGTTGCTTGGCAGTCAATCACAGCATTTGATTGCCTACTTTATTTCTTAGTGGGTTCTCTTTGACATTGCAACGACTGGAGAATTCCTGCTGTGGATTCGGGTCTTGCAACGACTGCCTTGGTAGGAACCACCTTAATTGGGCGAATTGACGGGCCAGGGACTGGACATGGTCTTGGTATTGCAGGTTCAAGCACGGTTGGGGAGCTCATGTTACAGGGGTGGGCCATGATTGACGAATGATGTGCCTGAAGCAGCAATGGAAGCGGTGCGCAGAGCTCCGGCAATGCCGCTTGGTGGTGCTGCTGCTGATGATGATGATGGTGATGAAGAGGATGAGGATGCTGGTGCTGCTGACTATGGTTATGGGATACAGCATGAGCTGCGGCCAGAGCGCCCGGATGGAGAGAGGACAATAGTGGCGGCGGTGGGATCCCAGGAACATGCGCTAAGTGGAGAGACAGTCGGTCTGCAGAACGCTGACTCATTTCGATGCTTCCTCGCGCATATTGTTCCCCAGCGGTTGGCAGAATCCCAGGTCTCTCCCCTGTCTCCCCTCCCCTCCCTATATGGAGACTTGATGGGGTTGCTGCTGTCGATCTTCCTCTCCTTCCACTTTCTTCTGCCACATGTCCCTTTCGTGCAGCGTGATGATCATTCCCCTCGACAGTTGCCCATTCTCTCCTCTCCCTTGCATTATTGTCTGCCCCATGTTGCAGCCCTGGCAATCGTTTTCTATTGTTTTCATCCCTTGGCCTTTGAGCATCCCGAACAACTTCCCGGGACCGTTGATTTGACATTTGCGACATGCCTTGTCCGATAGTTGTGCCACAACACCCGTCTGAGGTCCTCTCAAATAGTTCCCGGCCCGTACCACTACGGCCAGCCCTCCTTCCAGTGCTACTGCTTACGTTCCAGCCCCATTCCCCATCACATGCACCTGTGTGACTAGCATCTCGGGACCACAAATCCCTTGCTTGATAAGACACGTTTTTCCCTTGGTTATGCCCATCAGATGGTGCTGCTTCTCCGTCAGATGTCTCGGTCCGTTCCTGGTCTGCCCATCTCTGAGTATTGTGCAGCATGCCTTCCTCCTGATCCTTCTCGTCGTCATCATCATCCAAATCTGACTCATACTCGTCATCTTCTTCTTCGGCAATCTCCTTTCCAGAACGAGAACCATCTTCCATACAAGTTTGTCCATCCTTTGGGGCGAGGACACCTAAATCCATAGCCTTCTCCTTTCCCCTTGGCTTCTCTCGTGACGTGCTAGGAAAATCAAAAAACATTCCGCACGATGTCCCGCTGATACCCTTGCTACCATGTCCACTAATTACCATATCCCTTGAGACGCCAGGATGCATCATATACCATGCGTCCATTCGCTCGGTCATCATTCTCGCTGCTGCTGGTGCAGCTGCAGCTGCAGTACCCACAGTTTGTTGGTGGTTGCCACACCATGTTGGTTGCGAGCCAATAGGAGAAGCCATGTGCAAAGTGCTGGGAGCATAAGGTGGATACAATTCCACATTTGTGAGCAGACCCAGCAGGGATGGATTGGCGCCAGTGGGCGTTGACGGAAGAAGGGTCGGGGGTGGTGTCAAATGATGTAAATTTCCAACTCCTACTGCAGTTCTCATCCTTGCGGCAGTTGCTGCAGCCGCAGCAGATGCTGCCGCCACTGCACTATCCGTATCCGAGGAGCATGTTATGAGCGGGGATGGCCCTCCAGAATAAGTTCTAGGCAGCGGAACATGCACAGGTGAAACAGCTGTAGGCGCCATGGTGTATGGGTGGTACTGTGCTGCTCCGACTGTTGCAGGTGTCGGGAAAGGCTGGAAGAAGTGGGCTGCTATACTGTGAGGATCATTTCTCAGAGGATTCACTGCTGCTCCTGGTGGCCACAAACACGGTGACGAGCCCACTGCTGGAGGCATGCCACCTGCCTGTGGACCTACACCTACTGCCCTCGCGGCTGATGAAGCGGCATACCACTGCAGTGCTGCAGTCGGAAGGAGGATTCCTGAATGGTGAGGCTGGGGATAATATCCTCCATGTGATACTCGCGGAGGGATGTGCATAGCAACTGGTGGTCCCATGCCCACTGCAGCTGCAGCAGCAGCAGCAGCAGCTGCTGCTGCTGCTGCAGGTACGGTGTCAGATGCTCTGATTGCTGGCGCACCTGGTTGTGGGAAAAGACTATTGTGCCGAGGATACATAGGGGCAGATGGTGGTGGCATGAAAGTAGCAGACGCTGCCGTTCCATAGGAAGCACCAGGAGCCCTGCCACCACCAGTTTCGTCACACTGTTGAACCGCCATCGCTGAACACTCCCTGCCGACATGCTGGGCAGCATATGCCGAAGCACCCTGAACAGTCAAATCACTGCCAACAGCACATGGCTCCACTCCACCCGATGATAGTAGTTTCGTGTTCTCGGCATTTTGATGCCCTCTTACATCACGCGTAGTCTCTGCTCCCAATCCAGATTGCATGCTCTCCGCAGGAACGCTTGGAGTTGCCATGCATGTGGCAGCTGCTGTTGCAACTGCCGCGATCACCTTATCCCTTGTCGCGTACGCATTCTTCATGAGTATTTCCTTCGCACGCAAATGATTGCGATCAGCAGACACAGAGGACTTCACCGAGGCCAAGCTCGGATCTGCAGCCAGCATTCTTTGCACCTGTCACAATCGCAGTCAAGGACATCCAAAGAAGATCAGGGGAAAGGCAAGGATGCAAAATGCATTCCGTGGAATTCTCAACTGACTCTGGAAAACCAACGAGGCAGTAAGACTGCATCACAATCAACGCACTGCAGTCTCTCAGATGAACTGCCAAGATGATCGCGTGGCAACTGGGTAGCCTCTCAGACTCTGGGGCCATGAAAAGTGCCTGAGGCATTCTATTTTTGGAAACTGGGCAAGTACCAGACTTTTCTCAGCAGCTGTCATGGAGTTGCCTTTTATTGCAGGCCCACAATGCCTACTGATACAGCCCTTGTGGGATCCAAAAAGTGTCACCCTAGGAGGCCGAGGAGCTAGAAGGGGGGGAGGAGGAGGAGGACAAAGAGGGGGAGGAGGAGGAGGACAAAGAGCGGGAGGAGGAGGACAAAGAAGGGGAGGAGGAGGAGGGCAAGGAGGAAAGGAGGAGGAAGACGAAGAAGTCAAAAACTCCATGTGCCGCACATTTCTCTCTCCAGCTCTGCCTGTCTGCTTGTATGGCTGGTCGTTGATCTGTCAGTCTGTTTGTCTTTCAAAACTCTGCCAAAGTGCATTGGCCCTGTCTTTGTTGCAAACGCAGCTGCAAGGAGCCCATTCATCTTACCACAATCTGCTGGATACAGCAGTTAGAACTTGACAAAGACTAAATTCAACCTTCTACACGGTAGCTGTTTTTTTTTTGTTTTTTTTTTAAAACACAAAGCAACATTTCATTGATAGATTGCAAAATGAGGCCTGGGACCTCACAATGCAACCCCGTGTTATCTTGGCAGCATCAGCCAGTTTAGCTTATGATGAGATCCATCCCTCGTCCCACCCTTCTTTCTAAAAAGCAGGTCCAGTGTCCCCTGCTCAAAATCCCAATTTGCTATTCCGGCTCCAAGTATAGCAGCCCTTCCCGACTGTGTGTTCTTACCTAAACCCTAAACCCTGGTGTTAACCTCGCGGCTGCTCCTCTCAGCTTGTGGGCTGTCGACTTTTACTCTCTACTAGAGCAGCACACCATGTACCCCCTGCTGGCGTTGCTACAGCGTCTAATCCTCGTCTGTCCCTATTCCGGATAAGCCCGTTGATTAGTTGGAGTTCAGTCTGAGGGCTGGTTCCTGCGATCGAACTGGTCCCGGTGAGGCATTCCTTCCTCTGTCCCTGTGTCCTTAGGGTCCCCTTGTGAGTTTCCACACAAGCCTCGGACCGTTCCGTTCTACACAGTAGCTGTTATTTTACAGAAACTTCCAATTTTTCACGAGAAATAGAGCCGAGCCAGTTCCTGGGATACTGCC